CCAAGATGTCTGATCTATTAAATTGGAATTTTAAGGTTCGTTTTGCCTTGGACTCTGATTTAATTCTACATGATACTTGGAACGCTGACATAGGATTGATGAGGTTTTAAAGATTTATAAACAATGTGGTGAGATATGGAATGAAAAAAACTTTGTTTTATTTTAAGATATGGTGATCAGTTTAAAGTTGTTTATACTTCCTCTTCTCTCCTCTCTTTGGACTTTTCCTTTTTTGTTTGTTTGTTATACCTTGTATTAATTTTCTCTGAACAATAGTTTAATACAATTATTATTATTAAAAAAACTGAACTTCAGAAGGTAAGTAAGAATTATGAACAAATAATTATGGAACAGAATGTAGGGATCACTAAAATGAAAAAAATGGGCTCTAGGAATGGAAAATACATAGTCAAGAAACAAATATTAAGCAACAAATCTTAATCTCTGAAGATCATCATTTCCCCCCCACAAGAAACATAACATAACCTGGAAATCAGTTTAATCTGGAATGAAAATATAATCTTTGCCTAGTTTATAGTGTTTCAGAACATACACAAATCTTAATTTCACTTATATCTGAGATATGGGATATTCAACATACACTACTCAAAAAGTCTCCTTGCTATGCTCCAAAAATACCCCCACCCCACACCCATTGTTTTTGCCCTTTTTACTAGATTGAATTGAATAATGCTTCAGTTCACTTGTAAAATTAATCACAAGTAAATTAAAATTAACAGGAACTCAAAAAACTATACAGGCTGCCCTAGGTGGAAGTAATTTATATGCCAAAATGATTTGTAGAACTGAGAGCTGTTCACACCATTTACAGAAAGAGACCAAATTAATTATCAAGACACAAGGCCTCACAATGGGAACGGATCATTCATCAAGGTCATTAGCATGAACTGCATTGTATTAAAGCTGAATTGGGTGTCTATTTTCTTGTCAACAAGTAGAGATGCTCATTTATTTAGGTCTGTTTCCCCATATTACCAGATTGCTAGTAAATGAGGCAGGAGCAGTGAGGCAAGGCCAAATCAGAGCTCTGCAATGGTTTTGGTTAAGTCTCTGCTGAAGCACATCCTCTGGATTCCCAGTAAAATTCCATGAAAAAGTCAGGAAGATGCTCAGGAAAAGCCTTGACAGAAAAGCCTTCTTATGCCTCCCTAGGTTTTAGATGGAGCAAAAATGTGTAAGGGTTGTAAACATGAACAGCTTTCAGGTAAAAACACACACACCCCTTCCTCACAAGGAACAATTGGCTGGGGTGTTTTAGCCAGACGCTGTGGGAAGGTGCATTTGTTGGGAAGAGCCATTTGCTTCGGCAAACACTTCTATGGCTTTTGTAAACCCTGCTTTGTGGGCTTTGGGTTGTGTCTTGTGGACTTTGGACCTTGCTTTGTGAACTCTGAAGTTTGTTTGTGGACTTCACACTTTCTCCTTGCCTTGCAAATCGGGACTGGTGATTGTTGGATCTAATTTGTGGGACCGGATTGTCCTGATTATGGATGACTCCCTTCAGGGAAAATTAGGGGTAGAGCTTTACTGACACCATTTGGGTGGGGGGGCTGTCTGTCACAGTAGTTGTGTAACAAACAGACTTTCTTGGGGGATCCAAATCAGAACATCTTTTGTGGATGCCTTTTTCTCCAAAAAGTTTTCATTCATGTATTTTCTTTTCTAGCCTCATTTCAGCAAATCAGCCTCTGCTTTCTGAACCAGAAGTTACAGCCTTCCTGTGGTCATGGTTTCTTTTCTAGCCAACCAGTCCTAACTTGTCCTTGCTTCCCATCTGTAACTTTCAGTTCTGCTGTCTGATCGGACGTGGCCTTAGCTGGTAGCTGACTAGCTTCATAATAGAAAACAGACATTTTGAAGCACACACCCAATTGTGTGGCTGCATCTTTTCAACTGCATAGCAGGAATAGTATGGAGCAGATGCAGTGGGAAGGCCAACTAATTCTCATTTGACTGACTCATAGCTCTCAGGAATAAGAGCTAGATTTTTTACTTTGTAATCATCTGCAAGAAACAGAAAAGCCAGAGGGTGCAGCTTCTGTTTCTATGGGAACTAGACAAATAAGACCCATTCCAGACAATTGTTTTGTTTGCAAAGGGACAATGCTTACATCCCCTAGTGCTTAGCTGGCCCAGAGTTAGCTTCCCTGCAGTCTTATCTTTATTACTTTGCAGTCGGAGTTGGGAATAGGGGAGCTTAAATTAAATAAATAAAATTATAAAATGCCATTTCTCCTATTGACAGCTTTACTCTTCCGGCTCTTTGCACATTGANATGTCAGTGCTGAAGTCTCAAAATGGCCCCAGTCAGGCCAGCTTTAGAGCTGACATTATTTAACATCAGAATCTGCAGATGTCTTTAAGTTGTGTTGTTCAGTTTTCTTCAACTTGTGAAATGAAGCTTTTTATAACTCTCTGTATTTCTCTCTAGCTTGAATCACTCTTCAAATCCCAAAACTATGAATATATGTGGAATTCCCATCTGGGATATATCTTGACTTGCCCATCCAACCTTGGCACAGGTCTCCGAGCGGGAGTTCATGTTAAATTGCCGAATCTTAGCAAACATGAGAAATTTGGAGATGTCCTCAAGAGGCTTAGGCTGCAGAAACGTGGTACAGGTGAGAAAGGAAGCATGGGTAGTGCTTTTTTTTATTTGTTTGAAATCGGTCAATCATTCTGTCCAGGACTCATGGGCCAGATTATATATAAATGATAAACGTACAATAAAACCCATTTAAACAACTTCTGAAAGGCATTTTAAAATGTAACAAAAAGCTTAAACAAAATGGTTGGGGGAAGGCCATTGTACAAAGATATGAGTCTTTGATACAGATTTTTTAAAGATAAATATTCCCTTTCAATCTTGCTTTTATATGCAGGGAATATTTTTTTCATGAAAAAGCTACTAAGTGCAAGATCCTAGCATCACTTTGAGTTATAATCAGTTTCTTTTTCTCTAACAATTAGAATTTGGCTTTGGGGGACATTCCTAATTTTAAAAAATGTCATACCTCCATCTGTATTTAAGAAACATTTCTGCCCCTCCAGTTGGCAAATGCCATCTGACTGATACTTATTCAGCAGAGCCAAGATATTAATAGTTAAGCGCAGATTGTCCTAGAATCTCATTGCAACATCCTCAACTTTGAAGACTTAGCAGACATTAGGCAGATTTTTGGCCAAGAATTCTGGGGATTCTGTAGCCTCAATATATCTGGTAATGTAGCTGCCCAAAGGAATTTGCTCTCTGAGTCCAGGGGCTGAATCCCCACTCAAGACAGGAAGATGATATTTTTGCCTTCCGGAGTTGTTAGCAGTGCTGTTCACCAGAGGTCGGTTGCTACCATGTAGTCATCCATGCCATTGTCAGCATGTTTTTTACTCCTATTTTACTCCTATTTTAATGTTCTGCGCATACGCAGAACAGTTTATAGGCACATGCGCACAGCGAACTGGCAGTAACGCCGGCAGCAACCCACCCCTGCTGTTCACACTAGTTAGGCATCAGGATCTGTTTATCACTATCTTTATACCTAGTTTGTCAAGAGTCAACTCCCAATGACTCTTGGTGGCTTACAAATAAACACTAAAACAGTTAAGAATAAGAAATAAAAGATAGCAAGATGACAGAAACTGACTGGAATGGAAAGAAAGAGTCCAGGGGCTTCCACCCACTCTTGGGTGAAGACCCATTGAAACACTAGTAGCGCAAGAGCCATCCAGATCTCGGGGGCAACTTTATTCTGCAGAGCAAGTGCTGCTACAAAGCTTCTGGCATCCTGATACTGTTTAACTGAAGGAATCTGTAATGCGGGACACCCCAGCCAGATTAAATTAGCCAGGCAGATAGTAAACAATGGTATCAAAAGTAAACAGGCAACTAGGCTCTATGCGAGGCAGTTTTGATGGCTACATTATTCAGGGAGCCTCTGTGGGTTCTTTCACGGTGTCCTTCATTCTGAGAAATCACTCCAGTGATGCATGAAGGGTGGCTGTTTAGGACTGGACCTCAGAACTGCTACAAAACCCAAATACTTTAGGCTCTGTTGGTGGTAGATTGTGATAATACAAGAAAAAGAAACCTGATCCAATTTATAGTGTTGCATTCTGCCTCATAGCAGGGATGACCCTATCTGGCAAGTAGAGTCTACTAAAAAAACCTGACTTTTCAAGACCATTGTGCTATATTGTTGTGGAGGTGAGGTGGTCTTGTCTAAGGCAGTTTAGTTTTGATGCCTGATATTTCAAAGGCATGGCCCAAATGATATCAGACACTCCCTTAGTGCCCGATAGCTCACATGCCCAATTCACTTCTGAAATTTAGGAACTACATGCTGTTTTTCCTTACTAGAAGCTGTTTGAAAAGAGGCACATCCAGATAAGCAGTTTAATTGGATTTAATCCTCATTTTGTGATGTTAAGACAATCCTGCAGAATTTTTAAGATAAACATGCTGACTGGATGTTTGTAAAGTAGCGCTGTTCAAACATGTTGGAATAAGAAGTGTGTTTGTGTGTGTGTGTGTGTGTGTGTGTGTGTTTACCGTAATTATTTTAATTTGAATTCTGATCCCAACTTAACAATGTATTCCTTGTAGTTTAATTTGGGTTCCTAACTTCTGTTTTGGTTTGTTTTAGGTGGTGTGGACACAGCAGCTGTGGGAGGAGTCTTTGATATCTCCAACGCTGACCGTCTGGGCTTCTCTGAAGTAGAGCTGGTGCAGATGGTAGTGGATGGAGTAAAGCTGTTGATTGAAATGGAGAAACGCCTTGAAAAGGGCCAGTGCATTAATGATTTGATTCCAGCTCAGAAATGAAAAGCACTTTAATGTCCTAGCTCCTCATGCTTCTTCCTAACTTATTGGATGAATTATATATACACACAAAATAAGATGACGCTCCGATCAAAATCATGGAGTCAAGAGATTTTCCCACTTAGTAACATTGTAGAAAGTCTTCCATCCACATGTGTTAGAGTTTATTTTTTTGATGGCTGAAATATCACTGAGAAACTGAAATAAAACTTCATTTGGCCTGAAAAGTATCTTGATTTTGTTATTGGGTTAAAAAAGAATAATAAGGTAGCTAAAGCTACAATCGTAAAGTTGCCTTAAAGCTGCAGGAGCTGTAAGAAGATTCTAAGAAACAGCAGAGACTACGTGATATGTCAGCTGACCACCATGAGTGGGCCAACGTCTAGAGAGAGAGCTTCTTTAAAAAAAAAACTTGACAGCTTTAAGGTGTGTGAACGTAAACTCCCAGAACTTCCTAGTCAGCATGTCTGTCTGAAGAATTCTGCAGGCTAATCTTAGGATCACAAAAACATCTGTGGTATTTGTGTGAGTTGTTGTTTTGGTCTATTTCTAGTCAGAAAATGTTCATCATTGAAGGGTTCTGAGCTGAAGGATTTTTCCTATTGCTCTCCACATACCCCACATAGGATGGACACCATGTATACCACATTTATCCAATGTTCTTTTACTCTGTGGTGACCAGTTCCATTATAGAGGTGGGGGGAGAAGAATAGGAGAAATAGCTCCTGTCTGCATTCCTTAAAACAGATGCTTTTTTTCTTCTTCTCCTGTGTCAGAAAAACTTTCTGCAGATAGAGTCGAATGTTGCACAAACAATATTCCTATTTGATGAGCTGAGAAGAGGACAAGGCCTAAACTCATGCAACCAGTTTACTAAATGATTATATGAATATTTGTTACATTTGTATTTGCATTCACTGGATGTATTACATAAGCAT